AGTTCGAGTCCCAGCCCAAGCTGAGCAGCCGCTGAGCTGCCAACAGGTGGCAGGATGGCTCACCAAAAAAAAAAAAAAAAAAGTTCCAAGCCTGGGGGTACCAGGGATCCAGGATTGTTCAATCCCCACCGTCTGGCTGGAGCTGGTCCTAGGACACAGGTTCTGTTGTACATGCTGGAAGGCTGTGCAGTCCAGCAGACACCTGGAGAATCTACCCAGCAGTCAGACCCTGGGAGGTTCAGCCAGGAGAAATGGGGTCTCCAGATGGTTGGGCATCAGTGATGGGGGCTTCGAGTACACCTGCACATACCCAGGTTCCAGGGCCCTAGGTCTCCAGCAGGATTCTAAATCCATAAGGGAAACTATCAAGGTAAAGGCAGAGGTCTTGGCTTTAGCAAATGGGAATAATCATCAGGTTGCCAGACAGGGCCTCATGCACATGGAACAAGAAAGAGATCAAGTTATAAAGCTGGAGAACCAATGGGGAGGGGGTCTGGGGATTCGGGCCAAAGCTCAGTGGCTGAATTTGGTAAGATGTCATGTTCCCGAGTAAGAAAGGAAAGGAAAATTAGTCAGGTATTATCATCATACCCATGTAATTGAATAGAAAGTCTTCTGATTCTTTCGTTTGGAAAGGCCGTAGTTCCCTCATCTAGGACCATCCATGAAGATCGATATACAGTTAAATAAATAAACGAAATGTTAGTCCCCGCCTCCAACCTCGCCTCCTTTTTTTAGCTCTTCCCCCTGTCTCTGCTAACCTCCCCAGGCCATAAGGCCAACCCAACAACCCAACATGCCAGCAGGCAAAACTCATAGCTGCAGACTGAGGTGATGCTGCAGGGAGATGAGAAACTAGCGGGAGAGAGTTTGCTTTCCCAAAGACTAAGAGGAGGCTGTCCATGGAGGCCAAGGGAGTCTACTACAGCTTGGTGGCGCTGTTCTTGGATGTGTGAGCACCTCTTCTCCAGGGCACGCATCTCACTACACACAGGTTCCAGGTCTTAACAGTGAGGCTTCACCTGGGGCCAGTTAGAGACTGTTTGAATACTCTTTTTTTTTTTGGAATACTCTTTTATAATGGTATCACTGAAAATGGAGAGGCCTGAGATAATTAGAACTCTTAGCAGTCAGGATTAATAAAGGGGGCATGACAGTGTCAATAATCTTGCTTCTCTCTTTTCTCAAAGGAGAAAGAGAGAAATGCCAAAGAGAAAAAAGTCGATACAGGTAAGTAGCTGTTCTGGGGACAGTTGAACAGAGAATAAGGCCATTTGGGTGAGAAAGTTATAAAATGGAGTCCATGGGAAGCACGTTAGAGCTCTACTTTCTCATTTTCCAAGTGAGGGAACTATCGCAGGAAGACGACAACACTTTAAAAGTTCATGTAGCTGATGTGAGCTGGACGGGGACCAGGTCCCAGGTCTCCTGAATCCAGTTCAGTGCTGAAATCAACCCTTTGGCTCACGTCCTTACATTGACAATCTTAATGTGGAAACAGCAGAGTAAAAATAGAACTTAGCTGAGCTAACAGGCCAAAACCAACATGAAGAACTTTAATAGAGGTGACCTGGATTTAGGTTCCAAAAAACTCAGTTTACAAGGGTTGAATGGATCTGGTTTGGCAGAAATCAAATGAAAGAGGCCTCTGGGATTAGAAATGACCACAAACTCGATTCAAGCCAATGGTAAGTCTTGGCCTAAAAACAACAGTAACACCCAGTAGTCAGTGCAGTTTCAGGTGACACTGCTAGAAGTAGGAAAACCAGGGTCAGGCTCAGTTCCTCAGAACACTCCTAGTGAGCATATTTCATTCTAAGCCCAATCTCATGACATAAGCCATACTATCTTCATTTTGCAAATGATGAAACAGAGATACAAAGAGGTTGAGTAACTCGCCCAAGTTAACACAGCTAGAAAATAGCAGAACTAGAAGTCTGTCTCGGGCCGTTTATTTCCAGAGGCTCCTCCTAAAAAAAATTACTGACTAATCTCTCTAACTACATTTGTCACTTTGGGCAAGACCCTTAGCATATTTGAGCCTCAGTTTGTTGAACTAAATGAATCTCAAGTTCCTAAACAGATTTGAGAGGAGATGTAACTGAAAGCTTTGGAGTGAGTCCATCCTGGGTCTGTTCTTTGCTAGCTGGATGACTGGGCAAATTACTTACCCTCTCTTTGCCTAGTTTAAGGACTTCTTCTATGTACCAGGACAGGCCAGCACGTTGTCTGGCCCTAGGAGATCTGCTGACATTGCATTACTGTGTGAGTGGCATTTCCGCCTGTCCTAAAGTACACAGACTATATGGCTGTGTGTATCAATCCTACAGCAAAACGTTCCTATTGCTTTTTGCAAACAAGGGTCATGACACATAACCAGAGCAAAGGGAAAGAGGGAGCTTGACTTTGTTTCTTCTCATCTCAACAGCCATGAGAAGTCTAACAATTTCCGCTAAATATCTACAGAGGCAAAACCAGATGAGGTCGTGGTGAATATAGATGGCCCAAAGAAGAAGAAAGACAAAATGCTCAAGAAGAAACTCAAAGAAGATGAAATCCCCAACCTGGCCGTCTTGAAGGTGTGTAGATGGGGGTGAAGCTCAGGAGGGGAGTTCTGTTGGTACTTCAGTCAATTCTAGTAATACCTTTGCCTGAACTAACTTCCTTGGTCTTCATGATAATCATCGATGCAGAGAAATAAACTTTAACAAGCATGCAAGCCAAGACCAGGGAGCGTGCTCGTTTTGCATTTTCTATATTCTCATGTTGAGAAGGGGCATGGCTTACACTGGGGAGCCTGGATCCAACAAGGTGATTTAGAGTATATGAGTTCTCCTGGGCTCACCTCTGGGAGTTTGATATCACCATGCAGATGTGTACACATTCCAAATAGCAGCAATTTTACCTCTAACTCAAATCAGTTCCATCAGACCAATTTTAACACTAGCCACAGGCTATTAGCTAGAGACATATTTACAGATTTGAAACTTTGGAGTGTGAAAATTATGTATCTAGATAACAAATTTAGATAAGTCATTTTGATAGGAAATTTGAATAAATGATTCAATTATATTACCAAGCGTAAAACTCAATTTTTCATTTCTAAACTGTATATATAATTTCCTGCTTGGAAAATTCATGTTTATATGTATTATAATGAGAAGAAATATTCCCTCACTTTATACGTGTTAAGAATTAGATGCTTAATGAACATGTATTGATTTGAATGTCCTCAGAATATCACAGTCTATCATCTAACAACCAATGTCAGCCCTTCACTATAAAAAGGTTTGTCGTATTTATACTTATATTTAAAAACATTTTGGGCTTAGCTATATTTCTTGGAATTTCAAAGTTTATCAAAAAGGTTTTATAAATTTCAGAGTGTTAGTTTCAGGAATGCTGAGTCAATCACATTCTTTATTTTGCTAAAGGTCAATTAATGGCAGCCTCTAGGTTTTTCCAAGGAGTGTATATCAAGGCTGCCTTTGGAGACTCTTGACATTTCTCATTAAATAAACCCTGGGCCCTCCTTTCTCTGAGCACACTCTTTTCCCTTCTCCCTAAAGATATACGATGGTGACCTCGAAAGTGAATTCAACAATTTCGAAGACTGGGTGAAAACCTTTGAGCTCTTCAGAGGCAAATCCATGGAAGACGACCATGGCTTTGATGGCGACCGAGTCATAGGAAAGTTTAAGGCAGGTTCCAAAGTTAACTCTTTTATTGGGCTGTCCCATCTATAAATGTCAGCTATGACCCAATTATATTAATGAAGGATTGTGGTGTAGAGTGTATACAAGGAAAATCCTTCATCTTTACACAAGACCCTCTCTTGAAGCCCACAAGACCTAGCCCAAGTCTTTTGAGATATTTGGTTCATAACCAAAGAGGTGGGTTGGAATTGAGTCTGGTGGAATATAAGGACGCAGAGTTGTTACCTAAAAAGATCAGGGAATTTTACTTTGCTCTTCCCACTCCTGACCTACCACATGTGTAAGCTATGCAAATGTACTAGTTGGATGATTAAACTAATCAAGCAATGCAAATCCTTCATCTGGCAGACTTATGGGGTCAGCATCACAAAGTAGTGAACACTTATTATGCTGGGCCCTTTATATGCAGTGCAGTGTTGCAGCTTGCCGATGTGGCTTTAGACCCTAGTTATAATGCTAACGTGATCTTGAGCAGTACCTGACCTCCTTAAGCCTTGGTTGCAGCATCTGAAAATAGGAACACTGTAGGCAGGATTGAATGAGATATTGGAAAAAGTACAAGCTCAGCAACTCATGTAAAAGGCACTCGGTATCCCATCTGACTCTTCATGTTCCTCACATAATAGCCCTGGGGGGCGGGTGTTACTGTGCCAACACCAATTCACTGATGGAACATGAAGAAGCTCAGATAAAGGAAGTTATGTAAATTTCCTAAGGATATGCAGAGGGCAAGGGGAGTGCCAACCCCTGTCCTGTCGAATCCCAGGCTGTGCTCATTTTCCCAGCGCTATGCCCTGTAAGCTTTTTGGCAGGGCAAATGACCATGTCGTTTCAATGGGTTGCACTTTGTGGTTCCAGGGCTCCTTCTGCATTTACAAAAGCCCCGAGGATTCCAGCACTGAGGACGGCGGGCAGCTGAGAATCCTGCAGGGGATCCCACCCAACCACCCCGTCAAAGTCCTGATCAGGGTGTACATCGTGGCGGTGAGCTCCCCTTGCTTACGCTGAGGGGCTGTCTTAGTCTGCTCGGGCTGCCATAACAAAACGCCACAGACTGGGTATCTGAAACAATAGATGGTTATCGTCTCACAGTTTTGGAGGCTGGGAGTTCAAGGTCAAGGTGCCATCAGGGTTGGTCTTACCAGATTAGGGCACCACCCTTATGACTTTCTTAACCTTAATTACCTCCCTACATGCTCTATCTCCAAATCCAGTCACATTGGGAGTCAAGGCTTCAACATATAAATGTTGAGAGGACACAATTCATTCCATAACAGGAGGTCTGAAGGTTGGTTGGTTGTTAACATGGTCATTTGCTTGCTGGCCTTTTACTCAGAGAAAATACTTCCCAGGCATGGAGGACTTCTCTGTGTAGCTCTGTTTCCTCTCTGGGTTTGCCACTAACTGGGAAGGAAACCCAATAGGCTGGAAGCAAGAAGCTCATAGGCGAAACTGTTAGAGAGAACAGGGCAGCTGTCACTGTGAAATTCCCCCACCCCCCCACTCCCACCCCAATCCCTGAAAAATATGATCTGCCCTAGGCTTCCTACTGCCTGAATATGAACACTAAACTTTAACCTCTCTGGCGGTCTGATGATGTCAGTAATTTTGTACCCACAGCGGTACATTGTTTTGCATGGAAATTTGTTGTTTTATATTGTAGGCCTGTAATTCTTAGGAATTACTCACTTAAATCTGTCCAAACAAGAGTCTAGTAGGCATCCCAGGTATGGTAAAGTTTGAAACACAAAATCATAAATTATAATATAATAAATAATTATAAAAAATAATATAATTTTATTCAATAATGTAATCAAATAAAAAACACTGCAATTTGTCATTGGCTGGCGTTCTCGTCGGTGATCACAGGAGGACACTGCAGGATCACAGGGAGCAGGTAAGGGATTACTCTGGGGCACTGCAGTGTAATCCTGAGTGTGGCTCGGGGTTACCGCTTCTGGCAGTGAAAATTAACCCCAAGCCACACTCGGGACTACCACCAGGGTAGTTAATTGTGAGACTTTTTTAACTGATTGCCAGGAAGCTCAGGGGGCAAATGTGATGCTCAATCAAAGCAATTGTCTGCTGAACCTGTACGGTTCATGCATTTGTTTTCCTCTTCTGACCTTGGAGTTGATTTTCATAATCTTATTTGATTGCGGTAGTCTTATTTGATACTAACTCTTTGCCTAAATTGCCTGCATCCTTTTTTTAAAAAAGCATAAATGAAGCATAAAGCAAAGACGAGTGATTCTTTAATGCTAAGGGAGAACTAAATGTTCCCTTTCCATCACACAGTTCTCATGTTTCCTTCACCATCATCTCCATGACCACAGTGTGCCAGGCATGTTCTAATCACCAGGGATGTTGAGATTAGAAGTACTGGCAAAGAATCCCTGGCAATGCTGAGTAGTCTATATTAAACACCCACCCCCAGGACACTTTAGACTAACCTTTTCTAAATTTTGTTCAGGAGGTCACTTGTGTGTGGGTTGGTGTCTTTGGAGAGAGAATTAATATGCATTTCTTGGAAACAGACCATGTGTACAAATAAATTTGAGAAATGGTGCATATATTTCTTCCCTTTACCCACCCCTGAGATTCACAAAGCTCATTAGCACATTCAAGGCTGTGAGAATTCCAGAAGCAAAGAAACCTGTTTAATGGTTGAAGCTTTAACAGCATTTTTTAAATTTATAGCCCCACACCTTCCCCCTGCCCCACCCCACAGAATACCCTGCAGAACTATCGTTTTATGGGACATAGTTTGGGGAATCCAGAAATAGGAGGTATGTACAGAAGAGGGAGATATTTTTAGGGCTACAGAAACTGGGGAAGGATTATTATTTATTGATTGATTGATTCAGCAAATGTCTACAGCACATGTTTGATGTGTCTGGCACCCTCTAGACAAAGGCCAGGAATGCAGACCAGGCTCCTGCTCAGGAAGCAGCATTGGGGAGGGAAAGGCTTGGGCTAGAGGTTGAGGACAAGCAGGTCTTGAACAAATGAAGAGTTAGAGGGTGATGGCCCTGGGTTGCAGGAAGTAGGTTACATTCGTTGCAACGATGGCAGTCCGTGCTTTTCACTGACATTGCTAGTGATAATGATTGTCTACTTTGCTCTCTCACGCTAACGTAATAAGTTAATTTAAAAAATCTTTTAATGTAATAAAACACCACGTGAAAAATAATCCTATTTAAAAGTTGCATAAAGAAAGAAATTAAAATCTCCCCATCTCTGCAATTCCACCCCCCAGAAATAACTTACTGTTTTATGTGTATGCAAAGGCATCGATCCCTATTTCCACTTGTCTACACCTCCATCCAGGTTGAGATGGCAAATCGGATCCCTACATTGTGGTCAAGCCTGGCGAAACTGAATAGAGCTCTGCTTCGTGCATTCTGTATTGATCTGTGTTCTCTTTTCTTACCTAGTAATGGAACTTGGACGTCTTCCCAGATCAGTGCAGATAGGTTCTCCTCATTCTTCTTAGTGGCCACCTAGTAATTTCCTGAGTTAATGTTAGTACCCATTTATTCACTCATTCAACAAATATTAAGAAGACCTTGTTCAAGGTCCTGGAGATAATGTTATGGACAAGACCGATAGTACCCTTGCTTGCATTGAAATTACATAATAACCAGGGATGGTGCGGGGTTAAGAAGGTATAAAACTAAACAAAGGAATGGATCAATAAAATGGGTGTCAGAGATAACTGCTATGGAGAGAGTTAAAATTGGGTGATGTGATGAGAGAAGGGACTATTTTGGATTGAATTTCTCCCTAAGTAATTAACATATAGGTTGTTTACAAATGTGGCTATTAACCAATGCTCTAATGAACATCCTTGAAAATATAGCTTTGTGTGCTTATGCCATTCTATAGTATCTGTGGGACATAGTCCTGAAAATGGGATTGTTTCTCACTCAGCTCTCATCTCTGTACTGCAGAGTTTGTCCATCCTTTCAGCATCATTTCTCACTAGCCTCTGCCCCGGCCTTCCCTTAGAAAGTGTTTGCTTGTGATGGTTTAATGCCCAGCTTGTCTGGAATCAGACTTCACTCTGAGACACACTCATTACTCAACCAGCCAGTGTTAAATGCAAGAGGGACAGGGTCATGAATTCAGATCCCATAACTTCTGGGAGGAGCCTTCAGGAGTCCACCCTATGATTTCACAGATGGCTCTGAGAGATGACATGACTTGCCCAAGATCACACGACTAGTTAGAAATAGAAGTAGAGCTCCAATTCATGCCTTCAGCCTCCTGGTCCAACACATTCCTCATTACTCTGTACCAAGTGCTCCTTTCCACTGGGGAGATGACTCCAGAGAAAGTTGAACTTGGGCAAAGCTGATAACTTCTCTATTAACAGCACAGTAGAGAGGCTAAAGCCGTGGTTTTTAACCTTGGCTGCACACTCAAATCATCTAGGGTGTGTCTAAAATTCCCAAAGCCCAGGGCCCATTAAATCAGATTATCTGGGGATGGAACTCAGTCATAATTAAAAAAAAAAACAAAAACAAAAAAACTCCCAAGTATTCCTAGGGTGTGCAGCCAGTGCTGAGAACCACTGGACCAAAGGGATTTCTTTTTTCCTCCCCAGGCGTTTAATCTTAGCCCAGCTGATCCAGATGGCAAATCGGATCCCTACATTGTGCTCAGGCTTGGCAAAACTGAAATCAAAGACCGGGACAAATACATCCCCAAACAGCTGAACCCAGTGTTTGGAAGGTTAGTGGCCGCTGGACCCATGTTGCATCGTCCTGTGCATTTGCTCCTGCTGCATTTCTGTCGGGGGCTGCTGCGTACACATGTGTGCACCTGCGTACATGGTCACAGGAGGTTCAATGCTGACTTTTGCTTGTGATAATAGCCAACCCAACTTCACCTTCACAGAGGAAAGTCAAATTCTCTGCGTGGTCCCTTCCGGAGTTAGGTGGTACATGGCGATCTTCACGCCCATGGTTTTCCAATAATGACTTTCTTCGGTCTTAATCTTTTCCACATTCAGCCTCCTGCATTTAGACAGACAGGTTTCCAGTTTACGAACAAGGCAACCAAGGCCCAGGGAACCACTGGAGGCCCAGAGAGGTTTAGAAATGTATTCAGGTTCACACAGCTCATGAGTGGAGGAGAAGGGACCACAGGGACTTTTGTCTCCTATCACAGGGATTTTTCCTTCATGTCATTTTGCAGTTCATTCGAGGTGCAGTCAAGAAGTTGAATGGCATCCCCCACTTGTGCTTTGTTTTGCTGCAAAGTGTTTTAAAACGCATTGCGTTTGTGTATGTTTAGGTGAACCATCCTTCAGCTCACAACCCTACCACCCGACTTCTCCTCTAACAGGGTGTGTCACACATTCGCATTACCTGCTCGAGTTTGCGCACCTGACTGCTGTTAATTTTGGAGTCAAGCAGACATGGGTTTCATTCTGCCACCTACAGGCTGTGTAACTTTATGCAGGTGGTTTAACCTCTCTGATCCTAGTTTTCCTCATCTGCAAAGCAACAATAGTGACACTTGACCCCCAGGAACCTTTAGAAGATTAAATATATAGCACCTCACACATTGTCTATGCTAGCACACAGTCAGTACTCAAAACACATTAGCTTCCTTTCTCTCTCCCTTGATAATCGTTTTAACAATGGATGCATCCTAAGTGTAGGCAGATGAAATCTCCATCGGCCTCATTTAAATTCATTTACACATCGTGATCACTTTGGACCCTTTCATATTTGACCCACCCTAGCCTCTTACACTTTATTGCTCCTGAAGAAATGAGAAAATGAATGACCTGGCCTGTTCACGTTTATGAGAATGATTAAAGAGATGTCAGGGACACGTACCCATGCTTTCCTGATCCAAAGATGATTTTATCATCACCTGCCATTTATGTAACTAGCACTTCATTTTGCCGAGTACTGTGTAGTCACTTTTTATTAGCTGCTTTCACCACAGTGCCATGAATTAGTTTTATTGCCCCAGTTTATGGCGGTGGTAAACGGAAGAAGGGGATGATGGACTATTCCCTTCTGCCTCTGGCATTGCAGAGACTTCCAGTAGCCTTCCATGTGTGGACGCTTTGCTGGATGGCTATTTAATTGTTATTCAGGGACAGAAGTTGCTGGCTCCATCTTGTAGTGTTCCAGCCGGGAGAGCGGAGGGCCTGGGCCTAACCTGGAGTCTGGGGATCCCTCTTTGGGATCTCACCATAGGAGGATGTCACAGGCCCCACGTCTGGGCACCTTGCCTGCTTTACTTTTCTCTGAAGTCTCTGACATGAATTGATATGCTTATTGGTTGCGTCCCATCTCCCACCTGGAATGGAAGCATCACATAGGCTGGGACTTGGCCTCGCCTGTTCAATGCCACAACCCCAGCACCTAGGACAGGGTGTGGCACACAGCAGATGCTCAATGAATATTTGTAGAGTGAATGAATGAATGAATGGTGAATGAATGAATGAAGGAACAGATGGATGGACAAACTTCCAGTTTTCAGTGGGATTGAATGGGATCTTGTCAGTGCATCAGCCTAAGGTGTTACATGTCTGCAGACATTGGAGATTCTTCATGTTCTTAATCACCACAGTACCTGGCACATAGTGGATGTATACTAAATGTCAGATGAACACCTTAACAAACAAAAGAGTAAATAACTGAACAAAGAAACAGGGGGACATCTTTGCTCTGAAGCTTAGAGGTACTAAATATTTCAACAAGGCTGTTTTTTTTTTTTACCTGATTCACAGTTTTTCAAACCACCATTGTATCTACAGATCGTATCTCATTGATGCACAAATTGGTATAAGCCCAGTTCCCTGGGTGACTGCAAGTCCAACCACTGGTGGGCTGCTTTTAGTAGTTCTTTTAATGACAGCTCCAATGAAAATTCATGAGAGGTTAATCTGTGAGCACACAGCTTGGGGAGATGGGACGGAGCAATTGAGTCCTCTGCCATGGTTGCCAGGGGCAGTTAAGCACTTAATAAGTCCTTCCTCAGTGGCAGCAGCTGTGGTGACAGCGAAGTTCAGATAAGAAGCTGGAGACTTCCTTGTGAGACGCCTCTAGAATATCAATGACTGTTTGGAATCCAAATCCTCGAGTCCCAAGGAGGGAGTACTATGTCTTCAGGTTGAAGACACGAATTTCTTCCCCGCACAGCCATATCCCTGGCCTGCTAGAACTCCCTCAGTCAGTTACAGTCACTGCATCTGTGGAACATCTCTGCTTTTTCTCCCTGGGGAGGGTTCACTGGCTCTGGGCTGTGCTGTGATTGCAGTTCCTGCCGCCCTGGAGAGTGCGAGTCAGGGCTCAGTGGATGTGACCCAGGCGGGCAGCAGCCCAGACAGGTCTACGGACATGCAGGGAAACAACCTCCCTCCTCGCCTCGTCTCTCTCCCTTGCTCCCAGACCAGCCCACCCCACCTTGTCCCAGTGCTCCAGAGTCAGAAACAACTAGAGAAACACTCGTGTGTCTTCATTGTTTTTTCAGAAAGATATTCCCCTAAAGTGTTGGGTAGCACTCAAAATTCAATTCTTAAGTATCTTCTCTAATGCTCAGTAGCACAGGTAATGCATTGACCCAGGAACTCCGGTGTTCTTTTCAACACCTTGTGCCGGTGTGGTATTGTGGGAAGAGCCAGAACAGGGAGTCAGAAAACTGGCACTTACCTTACACCAGTGAGGCCCGATTTATGCTCCTGGGCAGGTCACTTACGTTCTCTGGATTTCAATTTCCTTGTCTGTAAAACAAAGGGACTCGATACAGTCTCTGAGGTCCTGTACAGTTCAAGGAACATGCTAAGTGTCTGCTCTCTGTAGGCGATTTGCACGCTCCAACATGCAGAGGTGAAGAAGGCAGGTCTCTGTCCTGAAAGGGCTCAGAACCTCGTACAGACAGCATTCCAGTCCTGCAATTCTATGATTTTATGATTTTCCCATCTTCGATAGGGTCTTCATTTAACATAAACTCAGCTGGCATTCCCTGATGAAGTAAAAATGGAGGGGAAAGAGAATGGCAATTTGTTGGGTGCCAGTTGAATGCCTGGAAGTAAAATATATGCTTTCTATAAACAATATCACAGTTAACCACCATGCTATAGTATAAAGAAGGTATTTATCCCCATTTACATGTAAGGAGGCTGAGAGGGATGAAATCACTTTCTATAGTTTTACAACCAGGAAGTTACTGATTGGAAACCAATATCAGAAATCATGGCTGTCACCCTAGTTGAAGAGTGCAAGATAGTCCATGAACGAGGAGATTATTGGCTCCTGGGAATTGACAACAGAATTGGAACTTGTTTGTATCTCAGTGAAAAACTGAACCAAATAAATATCCACTACATGCTAACTGAGGTTCTGAGTGTTTATTGAGTTCATATGAACTGTAGGCTAGCTAAAAGCAAAGCTGGGAAAATTTCCTGTGTGGCCAAGTGTGGTTGACTCCTAAAGCCTCTGCTTGGACCACAGGTCATTTGAGATCCAGGCTACATTCCCAAAGGAGTCCTTGCTCTCAGTCCTGATCTACGACCATGACATGATTGGGACAGATGACCTCATCGGCGAGACCAGGATCGACCTGGAGAACCGCTTCTACAGCAAACACCGAGCCATCTGTGG